GCTGGCCACAGAAAGCAATCCAAAATTTAGCACACGTATTAAACACTGACTAAGATCTAAAACCTAACCAAGCCGCCTTAAAAAAGGACCCCGCAAAAAATAAAATAAAATCTCTTTTTTGTCCCAAAATTGGTCCCAATTTATTGTGCATTTAATATTTGATACTTTTTTTGGTCAAAGAAAATGTCTTCAAAGCCATATGGGATGCGGTGCCTAATTTCCTCTTAGTTTAACATTGGGCCCTTCACCTTTTAACCAGTCGCGTTCTGTTTAATTATACAAATCCCTACAAAAATCAAATTTTCAGCTAGAGATTTTCACTTTATCCATGTCAATATTGCCTTTTCTTCCAAGGAAGTTTAAATAGAATGTCGTTTTTATTATATATAATACATTTCTTATTATAAGACATTTTTATAGGAGATTTTATGTCCCAAAATATACTCATGTGATATTTAAAAAAAATTAAGATTTTATTATATAAGCTTATTCTAATATTATCCTTTTTTTCTATTTAAATTCCATCAATCTCTCTCTTTCTATATTAATGAAGGGTATTTTACAAAATTATATTTTTATTTTAAAAAATAAAGTTATTAAATATATTTAAATAAAATTTATTGATATATGAAATTTTCTCTTAGAGTATTTTATAATTTAAGATAGATAAATTATAAAATCATATATATAAACAGAATTGCATGCATGAAAGTACTCCCTTCATCCCCATATATAAGAAGTCTTCTAAAACCTTTTTTTATTCCTAAATATAAGGGGTTGTTAGTATTTTTTTAATAAATAGACCATTACACCCTTACCAAATTGGAAAGAGAAAAAGATAAGTATTTTTATTAATTTATTTTAAAAAAAAGAGAATCATTTTTTGTTTACAACAATTAGAGACAAAATTAAAATATTGTTGTACTTTTAATTAAATAACCAACATTTATTGATTTGCATAATTCGATTAAAAATATCTCATATATAAAGATAGAGTGAGTAATTAAGGCTCTCCCTGTTGGTAGGGCCACGGGCGTCTTCACCTTTTTTTGCCTCCTACTTTCTCAATTCTCACCATTCATACTATTTTATTAAATAATTTTTTAAATTATAAAATTAATGAAAATGGAGGATTGAGGGAGTGGAGAGAAAAGTAGGGGAAAAAGTGGAGAGACTCTTGCTCCCTGTAGGTAGGGCCTAGAGATGCTAGAAGCTAGGGGTGTTCACGGGACGGGACGGGACCGGGACACCCCCGTCCCGTGTCCCGTCCCGAAAAAAAGATCGGGACTGAATTTTGGTCCCATGTCCCGTCCCGTCCCGAAAGTCATCCCGTCCCGTTAAGAGTCGGGACGGGATCGGGACAAGATCGGGACGTCCCGCCGTCCCGATAAATGAAATAATATCGAAAAAAAATCTGGATAATAATTTTCATTAAAATTTTAAATTATATAATTTATTAAGTTTAAAATCAAAATAACACAAGTACATAAATAACAATAATTTAAAATCAATTATTGAATTATTTTAATCACAACTACATATTATAATAAAAAATACAAGTGATCTTTATGTTATAAAATTAGCAACAATAGGCAAGTCAAATACAACATTAAATAATTGTTCTCCTACTTTAGTGAAGATATACTAAGCTAATTACTTTTCTAAAATAAGCAAGAAGTATGTTATAAATAAAAGTTATTAAATAGATAGATATAAGAATAAATTATATTAATATAATTAATATATTATAAAAAAGATATCGTCATGTTTACTCCATACCATTAAAATTATCAATATAAAAATACTTTAGTTTTAAATAAGAATTGTAAGTATTAAAATTATAATTGATATAATTAATATAAGTATAAATTATATTAATATAATTAATATATTTAAAATAAAAAATAATATATATAATATTCGGGACGGGACGGGACGTCCCGATGGTAATCCCGTGTCCCGTCCCGTAAAGTCCCGTCCCGATTATTTTCGGGCCGGGACAAGACCCGTCCCGATATGATTGGGACGATACCGGGCCAATCGGGACGGGTTCAGATTGAACACCCCTACTAGAAGCTACAAAAATCCCCCCTGAAATCAGGCCATTAACTACCTAATTAATAATTAAATCATTATTCATTTTGTTTAACATGCTTAAAATATATTCCAATTAAGGTCGTGCTTTTAGTATAACGATCAAAATTTCGTGCTCGTAGTATTTACGTCTTTGAATGTTTTAAGCATAATATTCCTTTTGTATAAAGTGGAGTTCAAAGGAATACGGTTCATATGGAATGGACATATTTTTCTCTTTTCTTGTAGAGATGGATTGTTTGAAATGCAAAAATAATGTGAGATGATTGGGGAATAGAAGAATCATATGGTAAAGATTTTTTGTTCATGTATGCAGAAATATATAGAAGAAAGGATATAAATTCATCTACTTTAATTTGAAGGAAGATCTTCTTACCAAAGGCATTACCTTTTCCTGCACACAAGATGTTATCGATGACCTTATTCTTCAATCGAAAATTCAGTTTTTGAATCATTCTTCAATCGAAAATTCAGTTTTTGAATCATAATAGAGCTCAAGTAAAATGGCATGGCCACCTTATTCTAGATGAATTGGACTAGATATCGATGACTCAGTAGACAATGATGGCTTAGCCACCTATTAAGGGCTCATTTGTGATTATCAGAAAAATTAAATCAGGAATTTTTTTAAATACCTTGATTACTATCCTAATATTTTATTAAAACTTATAGATATCTTGAAAGGACTTAACCTTTGTTAAAACAAAAATTTCAATCAAGTTCATATCTACTCTCACTTAATTAAAACTCTCATATTCATTCAATATGATCTAGAACCATCATCTCTCTAGTGCTATAATTAAACAAGATCATAATTCATAAATTTAGTTATGAGAGACTAGACTATAACTTTTGAATGTGTTTTTAGAGGAGTGAATAAATATGTTGATTGACTTGCTCATCACATATATACCGACAATTAAGGTACCATAATTTTTGTAGACCCATCTTTAAGGTGCAAAAGTATTATTTGCTCTAACATGAACTGAATATTTTCTTGTATGGTTTTTTGTAACCTTGTATCTTTTGTTAAAAAAGAAGGATGGACATAATTTGCTCCAGCCCCAGCAAAGAAAAAATCGACCAATTGATGGCTAGGATATCAGAAGAATCACCCGGCTTTTATTGAATATAGAATATTCAAAGTCAATCAAAAGATAAGTTCATAATTAATGCTTGCTTCCAATACAGGTATCAATGGTATCAATACAATAACATTGGTATAGGACCTACTATATATTGAATCCATGTATATAACTAAGCATCGAAGATTTGAAACATTGCCAAGGTACATGCATATCACTCATTCATATCAAATATCAATAATGTATTTTCGTAATTGTTTTACACATTGGCTGGGATGATAATATTCCCCTTTCACTCCAATAATGTATTTTCTTATCATCACTTTATCCAGTAATAGAAAAAAATATAAAAGTTGTGCTCCCTCTGTTATAAATTATAGGATAATTACAATCATATTTCACATATCAATAAAAGCAGTTATTTCCTTACCTCCTTGAAAAACTGAGGTGCACTTTTTCTTCTTATCCTTGAACCTTTTATTATGAATAGTGAGAGATGAGAATTGTATTTCTCATGTCCATGTTAATTAATACAGGGGTGAATTTTTTACTTGAAAAAGATGTAATTTAATTAGTATATGAGGTGAGAGCAGAATATTTGCCAGAAAAATACCATACTTAAATTTATGAGTTATTTTTTTATTATAAATTAATTAATAAATTTAACTTTATTTGATATGAGATTTGATGGCAAGAAAAATAAAAAAAGATATGGGACCTGTATGCGACTTTCCACGTCTAAATTCACCAACGATTGAACATCATCCAGTTACGAATTAAGAATTAGGAGGATATCACGTGGGGAGATATGTGAATGTGAGGATTTATGAGAGGAGGCGCTGACTATTAAAATAATACACGTAGAACCTAGGGGAAAGCGAAATGAATTAAAAGAGAAAGCATGCGAGGGAGGAAGATAAAGTTGTCAATTAAAGCTGAGTCTATCAAATTAATTCATTTAAATTTAAAAAAAAATTAAAATCAAACTTCTATTTTAAAATATAAAATAATAATTAAAATTTAAAAAAGTTAGTTCTTTTAAGTCCTAAAATAAAAAAAACCAGCCCTTTAAGTCTTTTTATAATTTTTTTAAATTTTACTATAAAAAAATGAATATTATACTAATTTTAAAACACCAACCTCATTTCACCAGGATAAAAAAGAGATATATGAAAAGTTTAATATCTTTACCATAAACAAAGCTTTATAAGAAGAGGAATGATGAAATTATATTAATGTTAATAATAATAAAAATTATCAAAATTTAACTGATAATACTAGCAAAATTTAATTGTTATTGGTGTTAGTTTTGTAATGTTATTGTTTTCTATTAGATTTAAATTTATTTTTTAAAATTTAATATTATATGTAATAATTTTTTTAAAATTTTAAATATGTTTTTTAAAATTTTAAATTAAAAAATATGTAGGGCTGAGACCCTAAGAGTTAGGATTAAATGATCAAAATAAAATTGTGAAATGTAATTAAACTTAATAGGGCCAATTTATTTATATCTTGACTCTTCAAAATTGACCATAATTGATGGACTTAGCTTTTTTCTATTTTTTTTCTCTTCACTTTCTATCTACTTCTCATCTCAACCGTCAAATTCATTTTCGAACAGTTGAAATTTAATGTTTTATAAAATTATTATTATATTCATTTTATATTTTAATATTAATTTTATAAAATATTAAATTTTAATTGTTTAAAAATAAATTTATCGGTTGAGATGGAAAATGAAGAGGAAGTTAAAAAAAAAAAAATAGAGAGAAACTGAGTCCTTCATTATTGACAGCTTCAGGGGAGGGAGAGATTCAAAGTTCTTCAACCAATTATGGCCGACGTTCTTTGAGTTATTAGGTTAGTTCAGGTTGCCTATCATTGACTTTGCGAAGCCTCTCACATATATCGATCCCTCCGATTCCCCAGTTCAGCCACAGTATATCCAAACCACAATAATGCCGACCCCCTCTCTTTCCTTCATCTCTCGCTGTCTCCTTCTCTCAGCACTCTTTATCCACTCCTCTTATGCCGACGTGGGCACCGCCGCCCAGTACGGCCCTCCATTTCTACGTAAGTCCACCATCATACGTCTCCTGATTAATTGGTTGTTTATCGCAAGTCAAGTGTGATTTTTTATTTGATTGGTTATGAACAGCGACGGCGTGTTTCGGAGGAGACGCGTCGGAGTTCCCGTCGAGCAACATGTTCGGGGCGGCGGGGGAGGGAATATGGGACAATGGGGCGGCGTGCGGCAGGCTGTACGAGGTGAGGTGCATAAGCGCGGCGGCGCCGAGGACTTGCATTGCGGGTCAGACCATTCAAATTAAGATCGTCGACAGAGCCGTTTCGTCTCGTTCTCGTCCCTCCTCCGACGCCACTTCCATGGTCCTCTCCACCACCGCCTTCCGCGCCATCGCCAACTCCTCCGCTTCCCTCATCAACATCGAATTCCAACAGTATCATATCCATCTTTTCCTCCTCGATTGCTGCGTTTTGTTGTGTTTGTCCTGATCAGAACTAATCATGGATCTAATGTTATTACCCTTTTCTGCCATTTGCAGGGTTTGAATTCTTTGATCGCAAGTATTTTGCCCTAGTCTCTCTCCAATCATTCTTGGCTTTCCATCGCAACCGCGCTTGGTAAACCCATTTTATTATATTTTTATGTCATCGTGCTGGCCATAATTTATATATAATATATTATTGATTGATAGTGGCTTTTCCCCTTGCAATATATTGAGGCCTTTCAGACCCAAAAAAAGAAAAAATAATGGCTGCGTCAACTTGTCATCCCTTCTCTCGTTGAGAATATATCGCAATAATATTACTGTAATATTTCATTCCAAGGTATTTGCAGCTAATGTCAACTACGACATATGACTCTATGTCTATGGGCTGACATGGAATGAAAAAGGTCGAACGTTTCAAAAATAAAAATACAGGAAATAATTAATGAGGAAGATGGTAGACAATTAGGGATATAGGAAGGCAAAATGTAAATGAAATGAGAGTGATGGACGGAAGGCAATTGAAAAATGAAGGCGTTGAAAATAAGTATAATGATTAATGAATGACTTCAAAAAAAAATCATATTGTTATAGGATTAACCATGTGTCAGGATATTTTCAAAAATAAAAATGTCTTTTAAAAAGTCATGTTTTCATATTAAAATATTTTTATGAAGAGTTATAACGCTGAAAATAATCAAGATCTTGTGAATTTATAACATTGAAAGGGATGGAGAACCTCGCTATTTTTTTTTTTATCGTCCCCTTATGACTAAAACGCATTTTTTTTAATTTAATGATATCAATGATTCTAATTGGAAACTTTGAGGAGAAAATAATAATAAGGAAAAAAAATGGAGGTCCACGTCCAATTTAGAAGGTTAAAAAAATCTGACGGCATGTTTACCAACGCTTGATTAAAAAAAATGTTAGTTCAGGAAAATTCTATATATTAAAAAGGTGCTAGTTCGTCTTAATAATCAAAATTGGTTGTTAAAACTATACTGTTCATGAGATAAGGTTATGGCTTTTTAATTGAATAGTTATTTTACTTTGATAGACATTATTTCAAGCATAACTTCACTATCAATAAGTAACAGGATTTTGATTTATTAACTATATTTAATTTAGGTGTTTGAATGTTTATATTATTTGAGTCATTAATTTACATTTGATTTTAATGGTATAAGTATTCAATATATGTATTAAATATATTTACCGAATCGAAATCATTTATGTCTCATCATTACTCCATTCACATATCCAAATTTATTGCCTTTAATTTCTCTTTAACTTAAACTATTGTCTTGACTAAAATTTTAAGAACAAAAATAACACTCAATAATTTTCGTTGTATCTTAAAAAAAAGAACTAATCATTAACCCAATTCTTCTACTCCTTGGGCTTTAGACTTAGAGTATCGTTACCACCAAAGGGATCTATGTGGCAAAGTCAAACAGTACCATCCGATACCTTATTGTCTCTCTGGTCCTAAATTACAGCGGGTCAAACTTTGACTTTCATCCAATCACATCACATTCAAGAAAACGGGATTGGACTTATAATTGTAAAAATACATTTAAATTATATCTGAATTCTGAAATACTCCCACCCTTCAAAAATACAATACATTCTTGACCAAATTCCACCTTCAATAAAAACAATTACATATCTTTAAATTAACTTTATTTTTTACATTTATCTTTATCTAACATGGTGTTTTATCATATAATAAATATAAAGTAATTTACTTAATAGGAGTACTTTTAAAAAAAATAAATATTATATCCTAAAAAATTATATATGTCTTACAATTTTTAATAAAGAGAGTATACTTTTATTAAATTCAATAAACAGTTGGACTTTTGAAATGAATTTTTTGCTAGATATAAACTAAACTAAATTTAGACTTAATTGATGTTTGAATCCAATGATCCAAGGCTTTTGGATTCTTCTCACTATATCCAAGTAATTGAGTTTTTGGTATTTACTGTACCAAAAAATATAATTCTATTTATATGTATCTCAAATATTTTCGCTAACCGTGAAAACTAATCTTTTTTATATATGGAAGGAAAAACACATATACTTCTCGATTACATTTATATTTTAAATAATCAATTTAGTACTGTAAAATATCTAATTCCTAAGAATTCACGTTATTTATTAAATTTTTATAATGCACGCAACCAACGTTTTTTTTGTCAATATATGCAAGTGGAAAAGGGAAAAAAGGTTGGCGGAAACCTACTTGATGTTAAAAGTTAAATGAAGTATCATTGCCTTTTCAATGATAGACAGGGACTAGCAAATTTTATCCTCATTTTATATTTAAATCAGTAATAAAGCCTTGTTAACAACTTGTTTTGATTCCGCATCACGGTGCTGAAATTATTTGCCGGAGTCGCATTTTGGATTATAATTCAGAATCTCCTTACCAACGTTTAACAACTCGCAAAGGGCTTTCCTCGAGCTGTACTTTTCGACTGAAGAAAAAAGAAATTCAGCAACGTAACTACAAGTCAAAGATCCAGAAGCGAGGAGCCTATAGAGAACACAAGATCAAGTCAGTCAAAACAACTCCGACAACTAAAACAGCACACCACTTATTGAAGAATCACAAATCTTCTTCCATCCCAAAGCTGGCTCACCCCTAACGCGGCAATGGCTAAAGACGTGGCTTCACAAGTCTAGATGGCTGCGAACTTAGGAACCTCAACTGGGAATTGATGAATCTCGTCCATCCAAGGGTTCTTCTCCTTCGCTGGTTTCACTTTCCTTAGAGCCTTCCAAACTGCACTATTGCACTTGAATCCAGATCCAAATGCAATTTGCCATATTCTATGCCCTCTCTTCATCCTTCCCGTAGCTTCAGTATAAGCCAATTCGTACCAGAGTGAGCTGCTCGAAGTGTTGCCAAACCTGTAAAGGGTCATCCTTGAAGGCTCCATGTGCCAGTCCGTTAGTTGCAGGTTCTTCTCTAACTCATCCAGCACCGCTCTTCCTCCTGCGTGAATGCAGAAATGGTCGAAAGCCAGCTTGAAATCTGGGATATATGGCTTCACCTTCATCTTGAGAACTTTCTTGGCCACCAGAGAGGCGAAGAAGAGCAATTGCTCAGACATTGGCAACACAAGAGGACCCAAAGTGGTGATGTTGGTCTTCAAAGCATCCCCTGCAACCGCCATTAGATCCTTTGACAGAGAAACACCGATCCTCCCTGTGGAATCCTCTCTCTGGGTAACACAAGTAAAGCACTTGTCATCGGCACCTTTGTGGGTTCGAACTGTATGCACCAACTGGTACTTTGATCGATGCCTGTCAATCCACCTGTTGGAAAGCAAGATCGCGGCTCCCCCCATTCTGAACAAGCAATTTGAAACGAGCATGGATCTATCGTTTCCAAAATACCAATTCAAGGTGATGTTTTCCATGCTGACGACCAGAGCATATGAACCAGGATGGGCCTGAAGAAGATCTTTAGCAAGATCGATGGAAATCAAACCAGCACTACAACCCATGCCACCTAGATTGTAACTCAGAATGTTACCACGAAGCTTGTAATGATTAATAATCTTAGCAGAGAGAGAAGGCGTGGGATTGAATAAACTACAATTCACAATCAGAATTCCAATGTCTTTGGGTTTCACACGCGTTTTTTCGAAGAGCTCGTCAATGGCACCAAACATGACCATGCGAGCCTCCTTTCTGGCTTCTGCCATGTTGGGATTTGGAGGAATCCTCAAAACAGCTTCAGGGAGGTAAGTAGACTCACCAAGTCCAGATCTTTCCACTATTTTCCTCTGAAACTGGAGGTTTTCCTCAGTGAAAGTCCCTGTCAAACCTGACCGATCCATGAAAATTTGCCTCGTGCATTTGCGCTCATCCTCAGGTTTGTAACACGCAAAATCAACGAGGTAATAGAACGTGGACGGGTTAGGAAGTAAAGGCTGAACAAGAAGACGAGCAGAGCCGAGCAGGTGATAACAGAGATGAAACTGTACCGGAGATGATTCCAAAGGTCGAGGAGATCCTGGAGTGAAAATGTAGAGGCTTGCGCTGCTATTAGAAACATTAAAGGCAAAGAAACGAGCAACATTCCATGGGTTATAAGGTAATGGTATCCCAACTTAACGTATTTAAGCTTCACAGATCGTTTGAAATCGGGGAGCTCTCGTGAAGAAGATTTCACCAGGGGAGGTTTTGGGTTGGATTCTGACATTTTGAGAGATAGAGGGTTTCCAAGAAATAGGTCGGAATGGAACGAATCAAGTGTGACAGGGGTTATACAATGGAGAGAAACAAGTCTGAATGGGTTTCTGTCAAATGGAGACTTGATGAGCCAGGTTAAGAAACTATTTCCCGAGAAAAACTCTGGTTGCTTGGGACTTTTAGGGCGTCACAAACGAAATGGTTGAAGAAATCGCGATGAGAAATCAGGATAACCACTCGGAAGAAAGCAAGTAAAGAGATGCCCGAGGAATCAGAGCAACCCTGCGAACATGAATGAAAAATATCAAAGTAGAGAAATGGGGCCGACTTCAGCTCAAAAATAGAAAGCATCGTGACTCTCTTTCATCACCCGAAAAAAGGAATCCGACTTTAGAGTTCTTTAAACAATGACCGAGGTAATAATGTAAGCAAATCAAAGACGGTAACGAATCAATGAGAAATACCACACTCAAGTATCTACGAGGGAAGATCAGGTTTGAAACAGAGGAGAAAGTAAAAGCTGACCTTAAGATGGAGAATCCCAGGGGGGTCACCTGGCTGGCCGGCTCCGGGCTCTCTTGGCTTGAGAAAACAACGGAGAGAACAGATTTAAGAGCGAGACCCGAGGCACCCACTGACCACTGTGCACGGAGGGAAAGTGCGACTGATAAAGACGGCACAGGATTTGAGGAAACTGAATAACGATTGAATATTGAAAATATTTTTTTTATGCAGCTCCGTTTTAATAGATCATTTAAAAAAAATAATAAAAAATTATAACTCCAATCTTTACATTTTATTTAAATTTTATTATAGATTTTTAATATTTTTAATATTTTAAATCTTAAATTTTTATTTTTAAGTATTTTAAATTTCTTCATGAACAGTTTATAAAAACTTAAAATACTTTAAAATATAAAAAAATTATAATAAAAATTAAATAAAGTGTAGAAATTTAAAATTATATTTTTACAATAATAAATAAAATAATAAT